TGAACTTGCCCTTTCCTCTTTTCCTGTTGGGGTAGAAGGAAGGGGGAAAGGGCAGTCAAGTGGCTAACTGGGCTCAATTATGCTACCACATGAGTTCTTGATAGTGAGATGGATGTTTGATTAATGAAAGAGCTTCAACAGAACAGATCAGCTTACCCACTTCTAGAAACATCAGCCAGCCCACACCTGGGCAAAGCCCAGGAGACTGGATAATAAAGGATAGAACCTTAAGCATGAGCTCAGGCTGCAGAGCAAGAAAAGGTCTGCAGAGAAAAGATGGGAAATCCAGGGTGGTTCTCCTATTACTGTGGGATACAGGGTCAAGTCTTACAAATGGTGATGCAAACAGCTCATCTTCTAGAACACCTTCTTCCCAACCTGCCTGCCCTTCACTAGTGCATGTGAGCTTCTTGCCTCTCCCTGGCCCAAGTCTCCCTGCAATCCTTCCCATAATTCCCAAGGGTTGACCTGACATCCCTGCAAAGTAACAGTGGTCACATTTTAATGGCATATTTGACAGAGAAGGGGCTTTAATGGTGGCAAATTAAGGTAAACATTGGGTGAATGAAGAAACTACTTGGAGAGAGAAAGGTCTTTCTCCTTTCCTAGAAGTCACACTGAATTGGTGGCCATGCAAAGAATATGTGTCTATTCTATGTATATAGAGCAGAACCTCCCCCTCCCCTGCAAAATAAAGCAAAAACCTTCAAACAAAAAAGAACCCCTAAGCACTAAGATGCATATGTACTGGGCTGGAAGGGGGGGGGCATATGCTTGCCTAGCATGCACAATGTCCTAGGTTTGATCATCAGCACTGCCAAAAAAAAAAAAAAAAAGAAGGGGGAAAGGGCAGTCAAGTGGCTAACTGGGCTCAATTATGCTACCACATGAGTTCTTGCTATACTCCATCCTTATCTAGGATGGATGCTATTCTCAGAATTTCTGTGAATTTTTTATTCAAAGTTTGTTTCCTTATCATTACTTGACAATGTCCAAAATAACCTCTCTCAGATAACCCAGGACTGGGAATGGGAAAGACCCATATGGGCAGAGCACAGGGTTAAGGGTCCTGACTCCACTACCATCTTCCAACCCCCCTTATCTCTTGGGGCCTTAGATTCCTTATCAAAAAATGAAGGATTGGACCAAGATATCTCCTTAGGTCCCCCATCCCATCCCAACTCATTCTGTTAGGATTCTGTGATGCAGGTCAGTATGTAACCTGTATGTGTAAATATGGAATACATTCCAGAGATACACAGGTGGTTTCTGGGTTTTCTACAGCACAGAGACCAGCCACTGCTTCAGGATATTCAGATTTATTGTTATCCAAGTAAATGTCCAGAGATCAGAGACCAGCACTTCAGGCAAGGAGAGCAGATCTCAGACACTCTCGAAGATGCCAGTGTCTCATCAGCATGCCCAGCAGAATAAGGAACACTTCAAACACCCCAAAAAGATTTTGATAACAATGACCTGGACATTCATCTTAGCCTGAAGCTCTCAGCCAGCCTATAAAAGCCTGGAGAGTAAGGGCTGACAACTTTATATCTCTTACAGGTCCCAGCTCGGCACCTGACACAGAACAGCTATGGAGCCAGCACCTGTAGAAATGCTGATCTAAAATGCAGAGGCAGGAAGTGTGGTGAAGGGCCTTGTGGCCCTCAGACAGTCCTCAATGAAGCAGGAACACTTCATTGGTAGACTCACTCAAAAGAAAACATTCTAGGGATAGTGGACTGGCTCAAGTGATAGAGTACCTGCCTAGCAAGTGTGAGGCCCTGAGTTCAAACCCCAGTACAACAAAAAAAAAAAAAGAAAGAAAATGGTCTTGATTTCTCATTATTACAAAAGAAATATACTCATCATTTTAAGAAAGAAAAAGGAAGAAAGCAAACAGTTGAGCAGAAAAGGGAAGCTAAAATATTTCCTTAGTTCCATCTTCCTGAGATAACCATCATTATCACCTGGGTATCTGCTGTTTTGGGTTTCGTTTCAGTTTACACTTCTCTTTCTCTCTCTCTCTCTCTCTCTCTCTCTCTCTCTCTCTCTCTCTCTCTCTTCTCTCTCTCTCTCCCTCTCTCTCTTTCTCTCTCTCTCGGTACTAGGGTTTGAATTCAGGGCCTATACCTTGAGCCACTCCACCAGCCCTTTTTTGTGAAAGGTATTTTTAGGGTCTCATAAACTATTTTCCCAGGCTGGCTTTGAACCATGATCCTCCTGATCCCTGCCTCCTGAGTAGCTAGGATTACAGGTGTGAGCCACTGACACCTGGCAATATCTAATTTTAAGTGGTTTCATAATCTCTCATTATATAGATAAACCATGGTTTTTAAAGTAAACTATTAAATTTTGGCATTTCCAATTTTAATATTATTAATAACATCATTATAAATACCTAAATATCTAAATCACTACATACATTCTTGGTTAAAGGATATGTACATTTTTAATTATCCTCCAAAAAGACTGTCCTGTTAACATTCCCAATAGCCATAAAAATCCTCAGCACCTCTAACACCCAAACATCTCACCAAATGCTGGCTTACTATTTTTTTAATGTTACTATTTTGATAGTTGAAAGATACCTAGTTTTTTAAAAATTTTGTGATTCTGGAGTTTGAACTCAGGGCTTCAACACTTGCTAGGCAGACACTGTACCAGTTAAGCCACTCCACCACCCCTGATATCTAATTGTTTTAACTTGAATTAACTGACTTGTAGTTTGTTACTAGTAAGAATGAACATTTTTCCTATATATATTGGTGATTTGAACTGCCTACTCATATATACTTCTTTAATTTTTCTATTGGAGTTCTTCCCTTATTATTTGTAAAAGTTCTTTATGTACTTGTGATATTAACCCTATCACATATGTTGCAAATATTCTCCCTGATTTTCTTATGGCTGAGTCCTTATAGGTTTATTATCTGTAAGGGAGCATTAGATCTTTCTCAGTACCAGATGGTACTGATCAATTTTTTTCCCCTTTACCTCTCTCTGCTCCACCCTGTCACTTTTATCACTCATCTGTCATGTCTAAGAGGCACTCTAAAGAGAATGCCCATGCTCTATTATTAAGACTCTTGACACTGTTGATCACCCAGGCACTCTATACAGGTCACACCTTAAGACTTACTGCCTAGGCTTAGGGTATCCTCCACCATCCCTCATCCTCACACCTGGTCCTTTCCTCAAAGTCACTGCATTCTTGTTTTTGGCAATGTCCCTCCTACTGGACAAATCAAGGAAGGGCTGGCAACCACAGGTGAGCAGGTCTTGCAGCAGAGAGCCTGTGAACCAAGGGTAGAATGCAACTATGGGGGCAAACATCACAACAGACCCCTCATGCTGCCCTCATGGTGTACAGGACTTAATCTATGGCTTTCTTTCAGAAATTACCACATTGACAATGTTTGCCTACTCTGAAAAAACTGACAGCCTTCCTCATTTTAGATAGTGAAAATGACATATTGCAGCTTATTTCCCTTCTGTTGTCTTGGTGGTCAATGACAACAACTATGGTGGCCTAGATCTTGGGTATATTTGCTTCCTCCTTTTTTGCACTGGTGGCTCTGGCTGAGGGGTGTATCAGAATCACCTGGAGAGCATGTGAAAATGCAGACGCCTAGGCCTTATCACAGGGTTGCTGAGTCATAATCGTTTGGAAGGATTGTGGCTTTTGATCTTTTTGGGGGTGGGTGGGGGCTGGCCTAAACCTCACAATCCTCTTGCCTCAGCCTTCCCAGTGCTGGGATTACACGCTTGGGCTGCACACCCAGGTTCTGGCTTTTGATCTTCTCCTTCTTTTCAGAGTAGAACTTAGCTATGTGCCTCTCACTGTATTTTGCCTCAAATACTGAGCACCCATGAGCAGGAGAAGTTGTAAGTAGTTCTGCTGCCATTACTGCAGTGCCAACTGGCCCAGGAAACAAGATGGGGAGAGTCAGTGAACCGCAAAGCACACCATCTTCAAAAGCAAGCAAGGCCCAAGATGGCCCTAAAGTGTTAAAAGCATTGTAAGGCAAGACACTCAAACAACCAATTATAGTCACTCCAATGGCCAAGTGGACTGACTAGAGTAGAAGGCATTTCCACAGGAATGAAATAGTCCCACCTTACCTCACTTCTTCCCCCAGGCTTGCAGGTGGCTCATTCCCTCATCCTCACTCTCAAAGAGACTTGACTTTCGATCCACACCCAGTTCTCCCTATGCCCACAAGCCTGGAGGGTAGGGTGGAGGTGCAAGAACAGGTCCAAGTCCTCTTGGAAGCCTATTTCCCTCTCACCTAGAGATCTGGCTTCTGACTCCCAGAAGCCAGATCCTCTGCTAGGCAGGTGGCTCAGAGGGCAGCCATGCCATCTCCTCTGTCATCATCATCTCTAATTAGCAACTTCCAGGCGCCTTCAGGGCTGCCACTCCTGATGGGTTCCTCTAACTCTGCTCTAAGTCAGCACAGGCTTTTGGCACTGCCTAACAAGTTTCCTTCAGTCCTAACTGTCAGGACACAGAAAAGGTATGCCACATATCCAAAGTGACTTATCTTCCCTCTGTCTACCTAAACTTAAATCTAGAATGGGCTCCAGCCTCTAAAATGGTCTTTTCCCACTCATCAAGCCTCCCCTGCCAGCTGCCTCCAGTCTTCTCGCCCATGTGACCCACATTGGCACCACAGGAAAAGAAGTTAACTAGCAGTGCTCCCAGGACGGGGTGGGGGCGGAGCTCAGATCTGGGAAGGACCCTAGGATAACTCCAGCCCAGCTTGGTTACTTAGCTGGTGATGGGACCTTGGGTGAGATTCTTTATCTGCTGTGACACAGATTAAATGCATTGATCCATGTAAGTACCCAGAACAACAACTAGCACAAGGTAGACACAAAGAAGCCTAATTTTATTTTTAGCTCTGGGCTTCAGTTTCCTCACTTATGAAATTAAAATAATACACTTATCTCATAGGACGATTGAAAAAAATTAATTTTAGTAATATGAGAACACTTACCACAGAGCCTGGCAGACCCTTGGTGCCCAGTGAATGGCTTCTGATTGACTGGAATGAATGTCATAGCTCAGAGCAGACATTTTCAACCATGATTGCAGCCTGGCCTTTCCTGCCCTCAAAATCCCAGAAAAATCACCTCTGCCTTCAGAGAAACAGGCCCAGAGAGCAGTCCCTGACTCCCCCACAGGCCCAGGCTGGGCAGACAAGTACATTCATGCCTTATCTTGATTGTTGGCAAGTCCAGGTTTCCCTCAGGAGCAGAGGGAGAAGCCAGGTTGTGTCTCAATATGTCAGGACCCAGGACAGCCAAAGGACAGACAGTCTCTCTTGGGCCACCTGCCACTACCTTGTTTTCTCCAGGTCAGGGTTTCTGCAGGATCTCTTGCCATGTGCTGGGCCTGGCCAGGAAAGTACCTGTAACACAGGGCTCTCCCCTGGGCCCCTGGGTCTCTGCTGTGGTCCCACTCCAGAGTGGACCCAGGGGCATTGTCTGGAAACCCAGTCAGAAGCAGCAGAGATTGCCACAACCACAGTAACAACAGATGCCTTCTTATACCCCAGGGCACCCAGCCATATACCAGGTACACAGTAGGCACTGTGACACACATGAAGCTCAGCTTAGAAGCATGGCTGGTACACTCTCCACAGTCATTCTTGAGGTCACTCTGTTCTGAGAGGAATTTTCCCATGGATTCCAAAGGCCAGTAAGAGCAAAGTACTTTTGTCAAAATCCCCATCTTCTGCAGTCCAGGAATTCCCTGAGCAAAATGGGGCCAGAGGTCAGGACAAGCCAGAGACTAGATGTCAAACTCAAGCCTTTCCAGGCAGAGCAGGGACTGGGAGGACTGTTCTGCCCCCACAGCTACTTCTCATGGACCCACAGCATCCAACCCCAGAGGAGAGAAAGGACCCTCTCCCCTCCCATCTCATAGATGCGGTCAACATTGGAGCAGTTTGCCCAGGGAACTCCTGTTCCTGCATTTTCCACAACAGAAAGGAGTTCCCAACTTGCTCTAGCAGCAGAGGGCTCTTTCTTTTTTTTATTTCTTTTCCATTGTTTTTCTTAGCAAAGCAATTCACATGAACATAGCTAAGTAAAATTCCACAGAAAGCCTTCTAATGGAAACAAGAGCCCCGGCCCATCTCTATCCTGCCCAGCTCTGCTTGCCAGAAGCAACTACTTTTAACCTTCTTATACTTAAAAATGCTTTTTTTTCCTCACATAAAAATTACATAGGCTTTTTTTATTCGTTTATTCATATGTGCATACATTGTTTGGGCCATTTCTTCCCCCCCTACCCCCTGGCCCCTCCCTGTCCCCTCCATCCCCCCTCACTTCCAGGCAGAACCTGATCTGCCCTTATCTCTAATTTTGTTGAAGAGAAGACATAAGCAATAATAAGACAGACAAAGCGTTTTTGCTAGTTGAGATAAGGATAGCTATACAGAGAGATTCTTAGCGTTGCTTCCATGTACAAATGTGTTACAACCCAAGTTGATTCATCTCTAACTGATCTTTTCACTAGTTCCTGATCCCTTTCTCATATTGACCTCTGTCACTTTAAGGTTTCTGTATTAGTTCCTCTGCAGTGGGGACATCAAACACTATCATGTTTTGGGTTTCTTAGCTATCCCCATACCTCCCTACATAGATGTTTAATGTACAAAATAGATCAAACCAAAGATGCTTTGGTTGAAAGGGAAAGACACACAGCACTTCCTTGACAATGACCTACTACTACTGCTGGTGCTATTACTACTACTATTATTACACACACACATGTGCATGCACACACATGCAGGCACATACGTATGCACACACAACACACACACACACACACACACACACAGTAGCTCCTAAGTCCACACCATTAAGACTCAGTATGCTTTGGGTTTTTGTTTTGGTTTTTATCTTTTTGGAAACAGGGTCTTGCTATGTAGCTCAGGCTGACCTCAAACTCTCAATCCTCCTGCCTCTGCCTCCTGAGTGCTGGAATTACAGGCCTGCATCACCATACCTAGCTACAGGACTCAATGGGAAAAGTGTACAGAGAGCCTCCATTTTGTCACAGCCTCCTGCTTTCAGTGGAGAACTGTGGTATAACCAGAAAGAACCCCTTCCCCTGAACAGACACAATATAACCACACCAGGCAGACCTGAGTTTTGTCCCCATAGCTCTCCTACACCTAGACTCCTGGCATATCACCATCTATAGAAAAGAGACCTCTAGCCTCAGGGCTTCCCCAAGGCCCAGCTAGTAACTAGAGGAGGAGGAAGGGAAACCATGTATGTTACATCTCATAAAACCGCG